GGGGACACTGGGGAGGGGAATCCCAGTCCCAGGCGGGTTTAGGGGGATAAATCCCAATCCCAGGCGGGTTTAGGGGGATAAATCCCAATCCCAGGCGGGTTTAGGGGGATGAATCCTAATCCCAGATGGGTTTAGGGGGGATGAATCCCAGCACCGGGATGGCCGCAGGAAACAGGGAGAGCTGTTCCACCTCCCGTGTGGACAATGGCTGGGAACGGGGGAGGGAAAGGTGCCTTAAACCGAGCTGGCGGGGCCACCTTGGGGTCTCTGGGGCCACTGTTCCCAGGGCGAAATTCCCAGCGGACACAGCTCCGCTTCCGTGCCAAGGGGGAGGAGCTGCAGGGCGAGCTCAGCTCACCTGGGCAGGCTCGGCTCAGCTGGGCGGGGCCTGGCTGGGCTCAGGTGTTGCCGTCCCTGCCCGGATTGGGCCGGCAGAGCCCAGCCTGGCCTTATACGGGCACAGAGCGGCACCGGCCGCACCCCGGCGTGGGCCGATGGGGCCGGGCTCTGCCTCCCTCCTCCCCTCCCTGGACACAATCCAGGGGTTTGTTTGCGGCCAGCCCCGGGATTTGGGGCTCCCGGAGGGGTTTGGGCCCCCCCCCCCCCCCCCCCCCCCCCCCCCCCCCCAGGCCATGGGGGCACCCAGGGTGGGGCTGGAGATTCCCTCCAGCCTGGGGAGAGGGACAGGGACAATTCCCTGCTGAGCCCTTCCCTGCTCTGTCCTGGAGCATTTCATTAGGAAAAGGAAATTATCCCCCCTGAATTCCATCCTCCCCGGGGCTGCAGGTGAAAAAACCCGGGAAACTGAGGCACGGTTTGGGCCAGGATGGTGCAGGAAAGGGAAATCCAACCCTTGTCTTTTCCCCAAACTGGGGAGCTCCTTTTCCCCCGATAGCTGATTTCTTGGCATGAGCCACTTCCATCCCTGCAAACAGTCGTGCCAGGCCAGGAGAGGGCCTGGAGCATCCATCTTCCTCCTTGTGTTCCACTGGAGTCACTCCAGGTGTTGGCTGGAACTGGGACGGGCGGGTTTGGAGCTGGAGCGGGAGCCCCAGGCCATCAGTTCCCCATCCCAGGGTATTTCCATCTCCCTTCCCACACATTGAACCCCATGGCACATGAGGGGGGCGATTTTGGCTCCCCTGTGGTGCTGAGCAGGAACTCGGCTGGTGCTGGATTTCTCCAGGCTCCGTGCACTGGGAAGGACTGGGAAAAGGCCTGGCTGCTTCCAGAGCGAGGGTGCATCTGTAAATGCACTGGGGAAGGAAGGAAGGAAGGAAGGAAGGAAGGAAGGAAGGAAGGAAGGAAGGAGAGGTGGAAGAAGGACCAGGAATGTCCCACCTGCAGCTGTTCCCTGGGGAGCAGAGGGGCTGAGATTCCAGATGGGAAAAGGGTCTGTTCCCTGATAAAGATGTTTTGGGTGTGTTCCTGGGGGATTTGGCCCTTAGAGGATACAAAAGTGGAGTCAGAAAGAATCCAGGGATATTTCAGAGAGGGACTGGCAGCACAACAAGCCAGAGACTGGTGTTACCCGACTCCAGAGAGGGGAAGGTCACAGATCCATCCCCTGTCCAGGTGGGATCAGGTAGAGGGATGAATTCCTCACCCTGGGGGCTGTTTCACCATCCCAGAGTGGCTCCAGGTGTGGGGGGGTTCTGGAGGAGGGGGATAGTGGGTCTGGGAGCAATGGAACAGGCAGGCTGGATCCCAGCAGTCATTCCCACCTGGATGGGAGTTCCTGGTGGATGAGAAACAATCTTGTGGGTCACAGAATAATGGACTGGCTCAGCTGGGAAGAGACCTTAAAGGCAGGGACAGGTCCCACCATGCCAGAGTGCTCCAAGCCCCGTCCAGCCTGGCCAGGGATGGGGCAGCCACAGCTGCTCTGGGCAGCAGGGTCCCCTTTAGGATCCCCTTTAGGGCCCCCTCCGTGCCTCGCTCCCTGGGAGCTGTTTCCCTTTCTGTGCAGGCCGTGCCTGTGGAAGGAAACCGGGAATTGTTGGGGATTTGTTGGGGATCTGGGGAGGCTGCAGCGGCCTCACCTGCCCGGCAGAGGGAGCCCGGAGCTCGTTCCTGGCCGCTCCAGGTGCGCGAATCCCGGGAGCCGCTTCCCTCCGTGCTCAGGGACCCATCCCCTGCTGATTCCCGAAATCCCCGCTCCAGCACCCCGGGATCTGCCCCTGCGATCTCTCACGTCCATCTGGAGAGGCTCCAGGCAGGGACGGGATGATCCCGGGGGCGGCTGGAGCTGATCCGGCGTCCCTGGAGGAGGCTGTGCCGCGGATTCCTGAGTGGCCTGGCAGATAAGAGGGATAAATATCCCTTGATCCCACAGAGCCCCTCAGCAGCTCCCAAATCCCCTGAGGAATGTGCCCCCGCAGCCCAGGGCTGACTGATAGAAGGGGATCACTGGGATTGGCCATAAAACACCATTATTATTATTGAGCCATAAATGGGGGAATGCTGTTAATGATCCCATTTATTCCCGTTAATTACTCTCCCTAACCCTGGTTTTCCCAGCAATCCTCAGGTCCTGATCCTTTTTTTACGTGGATCTGAGAAGGTGAGCGATGTCTCAACCCCCCCCAAGCACCTTCTAATATCACACAACCTTCTCTTTTTCCATAAAACCCGAGCTTTTCCATCAACCTCCCTCTCCCCACCCCCCTGCCCAAACTCAGGATCCTTTGAGTTCTTAGCAACTTTTAGGAAGCAGCCAGGTGGGATTTTGTGGCATTTTGAGCCAAAACAGAGACATCACAATCCTGGTACTTTCTGGGGCTGCCCTTCACCACTGCATCCTTCTCTGTTCCCTCCCTTTTTTTTCCATTGTATCCCTAAAAAAAGTAAATCTGATGCATGTCTTGGGGTGACACTGTCCATTATTCTGGATTGTCAGTGCTGGTCTGGACAACACGGGGAGTGCAGCCAGCACCTTTTTTGAAGGGGTGGGGTAGGGACTTTTTTGGGGGTCCTGAGCTGATGGTGCTGCCTGGAACCTGCAGCAATTCCCTGGGGAATTTACAGCTGGAATTGGGGCTGGTTGTGACTCTGGGATGAGAACAGCAACGGGAATTTGCCCTGAGGAAGAGGCTGGGCCCTAATGAGGGAGGGAGGGATGGTGGAGGGGACAGGATGGATCATCCCAGGCAGAGCTCAGCTCCCGTTAATGCAGGGCAGGAATTCAGGATGGACCCGTGCCCTGCTGTCAGTGGGAATGGAGGCTGGGAGCAGTGGGACAGGGGAATGCTGGGCTGGGTCTGTCCCTCCTGTGTCCCAGAATGGGGACCTGAGTCCAGGAATCCCAAAATCCTAAATCTCAAACCAACCCTTTAATCCCCTGCTGTGGCCTTGGGGATCTCTCCCAATCCTGTGGGTGGTGAAGGCTCAGAAACAGCAAAAAGATTCCCAAAATCCAGTGTCAGGTAGGAAAAGGAATGGGAAAGTCTCAGCTGATCCCCAGCCCTCCCTGAGTTCCCCTGGGTCCAGACCCCTCAGGTTGGGTGTCCCAGGCTCCCACTCTGGCCTCACCCCAGACCCCACGAGCCCTGTTCCTGCTGCCCTGGGCAATGGGGCTGCTCTGAGCACAGACCCGGCTTTGTTCCTCTGCCTGGAAGGGGCTTTTTCCCAGGGCTCCAGAGACAGCCCTGCACTCACTCTGCCTAACTGGGAGCAACTGTTCAGAGCCCCCCTTCCCCACCCTGCCAGATAGGGAAACTGGATTTAACTCTTTCCTCTGCTCTGGAATGTCCTTCCCATCCTCTGCCTCCCATCCTGTGCCCTGGACCCAGAGAGCTGCTCCCAGATTTGGGTCCTCTGGCTCCTCGGTGGCCCTGGGCTGCTTTGGATCTCCCAGGGAAGGCCCCAGGAGAACAGGAAGTATCTGTGATCCAAAAGGGCCCCTCTGGAATGAAGGGCCAAAGGGAAATGGGGGTGCCCAGGATGGACCTGGCCCAGGTGTGCAGGAATTTCTCCCCTTTGGAGAGGGACTGGAGGAGTTTGGGGAGGGGAAGCTGACCCTGGAAGGGCAGAGTGTCTCCCAGCAAAGCTGCTCCCAAATTTGGGTCCTGCAGCACCTCAGGGAACCTGGTCTGGTTTGGATGTCCCAGGGAAGTCCGTCTGGGAACAAAGGAACACCAAAAAGACACCTCTGGAATGAGGGGGTGCAGGGAAATGGGGTGCCCAGGTGTGCAGGAATTGCCCTTTGGAGAGGGGCAGGAGGAGTTTGGGAAGGGGAAGCTGAGCAGTGCTGAGTGTGCTCCCCTCATTCCCAAAATTGGTCCCCAACTGGATCCCACACTGTGCCTGCCCCTCTGGCCCCATGTCCCTCACCCAAGGGCTGTGCCCAAGCCAATCCCTGGGAAGCAATTCCAGCCTCACCTGGCTGCCAGGACTCAGCCAGAGCCCCCAGGTGAGCCCTGCTGGGAGGGAGCTGCTGCTCCAGGTGCCTGTGGAGGGAAGCTGGGAGAAAACAAAGGACAGGACAGATTCTGAGTGACAGAACTTTATTGGAACAGCCAAACCCAGTGAGCCAGAGCTGTGCTGCCTATCCTACAGGAATGTGGGAATGGGGACCCAGAACCTGGGAATTTGGGGGGCTGAGTGGCAGTGGCTGGAGCCAGGAAGGAAAATACGGCAGGATTCTGAGTGAGGTTGGGAAGAGGCTGCAGGGATGGCTGTGCCAAGGCCACAGAATCCCCCAGCTGTGGCCATGTGGCACTTCCAGGGCTGGCTCTGGGAACTCTGGAGCATCGGATTGGGACTGGCCAATGGGGGCAGCTGGGCCAGGTACAAGCTGAGGTCAATAAATACAGAGGCAAGGGAGTTTTCCAGCTTTAGGCTGAAAGAGGGAAGATTTGGATTCGATTTTAGGAAGGAAATTCTTCCCTATGAGGGTGGTGAGGTCCTAGAATGGATTTCCCAGAGCAGCTGTGGCTGCCCCTGGATCCCTGGAAGTGCCCAAGGCCAGGCTGGAGGGGGCTGGAGCAGCCGGGGACAGTGGGAGGTGTCCCTGCCATGGCAGGAGTGGGGTGGGATGAGCTTTGAGGTCCCTCCCAACTCAAACTGGACTGTTCCCAGTGCACTTAAATAGGAACCAATACCCCAATTTTAGGAGCTGCAACTGCTGTGTGGAGCCTGGAGAGAGGGAAGGATTATGGAAATCAAGAGTTGTGAGGCATTTTAACTTTGGTGAAGGAATGAGGGGCCCTCCAAAGGCAGGGAAATGCCCTGAGGTGGCCAAGAGTCCCCCAGTGTGTCACCAGATCTGTCAATCAAGGTGACAAATCCATCCCTGGGGGTGTTTTCCCTCTCCTGCAGTGTGGAAACCTGAGTGATGCTTTCCTTGGAAGCCCTGCCAGGATCACCCTGGGAGCAGGGAAAGGGCTTGGCCACACCCGTGAAGGGACCAACAGCAGCTGCTAAAACTGGGCTAGGGACACTTGGCTCTTGCTGGGCACATTCCAAGGGGTGACTGCAAATCCCCTGGAAAGGGAGACCTGCAGAGGAAGGTGAAGGGAATGGTTCCTGCTGTAACTGGGAATGGAGCTGTGAACTGGAATGGTGGAAAGGCAAGGGACAGCCTGGACAGGACCCTCATCCTTCACCCCTTGGGTGAGCGCTGGAGTTCAGGTTCCTCCCCAGCTGCCTTGGATCCGTGTTCATCCCGTTCTCCTACGAGCACTGCCCGGGGGCGCCGGGGCTGAGCTGGGGCGGGGTCCCCGCAGTCCCCGGCACGTCCTGGGCTCTCCTGGTGCCTCCGCTGGGCTCCGAGCTCCGGGCAAAGAGCCGCGAATTCCGCAGGGTGCTGGCAGAAACTGGGACAAAGGAGAAGGTTAAAAGCCTCAAGCCCTGCCACGCATCCCCCATTTCCTGCATGGGAGGGGTCACAGCACTTACGGGGCTTTGGCCGGGAGTGCACAGCGCTGATGACGGTGGGAATGGGCTGCTCCATGCTGGGGAGGGAAGGACACGGCGTGAGGACACGGCCTGAGCTCTGCCAGAGGGCTGGAAAGGGCTGGGGTTTGGCCTGGGGGAGTTGGGACAGTGGTAGGCTCAAGGGTTAGGGTTATAGGATTAGGATTAGGATTAGGATTAGGATTAGGGTTGCACCAGGACCAGGAAGGGCTTCAGCATCTCCTGGGCAGCTCCTGGAGAAGGTCTGGAACCTCAGCCTGGGGAGGGTGAGGAAGACTTGGGATCAAGAAATGGGATTGAGCTGCTGGGAACCACCAGCATTTGTTCCTTCTTTGACCAAACCTTCAGTACCCGACTCAGAACTTGGCATTTGGGTAAGCTGGGCTTTGGGAGGTGGCAGGGGGTGGGACTGGGTGGAACATCCCAAAGCATTCCATGAATCCATGATGTCTCGATCCCCCTGATGTCCTGGTGCATCCCTTCCCTACCTGAGGCAGAAGAATCCTGGCTCACCTGTTCTCCTCCCCTTCCATGAGCTTCCTGTAGGTGAGGATCTCCACATCCAGGGCCAGTTTGATGTTCATGAGCTCCTGGTACTCACGGACCAGGTGAGCCACGTGCTCCCTGCTGCGCTGCAGGGCCTCCTCCAGCCCGGCCACCTTGGCCTTGGCGTCCCTGAGGGTCCCCTCCCCCTGCTCGCCAGCCTCACGGATGTGCTCCTCCAGGTACAGGCACTGGAGAGTGGGACAGGGAGTGAGGGGGCTTGGGGGAGGGATTTCCACACCTGTTCTGTTCTCCCCCCCCGGCACACACCTGTGCTGTTATCCACCCCCCCAGCACACACCTGTCCTGTTATCTCCCCCCAGCACACACCTGTACTGCTATCCCAGCACACACCTGTCCTGTTCCCCCCCAGCACACACCTGTCCCTTTATTCCCACCTGGCTCTTCTGGGACACGATGCAGGAGCGCAGTTTCTGGATCTGGATGTTCAGATCCGCGATTTCTCTCCGGCTGTCCAGGAGGTGCCCCCCGAAGGAGCCGGGCTGGGAGCTGCTGTCAGTGAGCTGTGGAGAGAGGGGCAGGGGTACCTGGGATCACCTCCATTACTGGGGCACAGATCCGGGGCTCTTTCCCATCCTCCCTGGCTCCTGGGATCACTCACATTTCTGGAAGGACATTTCCATCTCCACTGGAGATGTCTTGGCTTCCCCCAGTGTGGCAAGCCCGGAGTAACAAAACTCTGGATTTACTGTCCCGAGCTGAGCCCTGTCCCTGCCTCCATTTGCAGAGCCAGCCCATCCCTCCCATCCCTGCTGATCTGGCTCTTTCCAGGCCACTCCTGTGTCCCAGCACAGAGCAGGGATCTGGTACCTTCCTGCGGGTCAGGGCCTCGGCCTCTTCCCAGCTCCGCAGGGCCAGAGCCTCGTACTGAGCCCTGACGTCCTCCACGATCCTGCCCAGGTCTGGCCGGGAGCAGCTGTCGATTCCCAGCACCACAGAAATGTCCTTGATTTCTGTCAGCAGCTCCTCCAGCTCCTGCAGAGCCAAGGGACAACAGCAAAGAGAGCACAGAGCTGGGAATTCATGGAATGGTTTGGGTGGGAAGGAACCTCAAAGCTCATCCCACCCCACCCCTGCCATGGCAGGGACACCTCCCACTGTCCCAGGTGCTCCCAGCCCCGGTGTCCAACCTGGCCTTGGGCACTGCCAGGGATCCAGGGGCAGCCACAGCTGCTCTGGGAAATCCATCCCAGGACCTCCCCACCCTTACAGGGAAGAACTTCCCAGGATCTGGTAATATCCAAGGTTCCCAGTAGTGAGAGAGAGCTGGACCCCCCAGGTGGGCTGTGCTTGGCAGAACAGCTTCCATGTGGAGATGGAGAGAATTCCTGAGTTTTCACTCTCTGGACTTGGGGATCTGGTTTTATTTGCTCCATAAAATCCAGGCTCAGGTTAAGTTGGGGTTTGGGATCTTTGAATACAATCTGACAGAACAGTGCCTTTGAACTGCTCCAGGAGCAGAGACAATCCTGGGATCCTTAAGGCTGGAAAAGACCTGTAGGAGCACCAGATTCCAACTGATCCTCAGCAGTGCCAAGGCTACCCCTGACTGTGTCCCCAAGTGCCACATCCACACATTCCTTGGGCATTTCCACGGATGAGGATTCTACCCCTGCCCTGGGCAGCTGTGCCAGCTGAACAACCTTTCCAGGAAGGAGTTTTCCCTAATATCCAACCCAAGCCTCCCCTGGCATTCCCCAGGAGCAGAGCTGGGCTGGTGATCATGGCCCAACATACATGGATATCCATGATGGATGTGAGAGCTTTGGGAAAACAGTCAGTGTGGATCATTGCACAGCCTGGGGAGGCTGGAAAATGCCCTTTCCAAGCTGTGCTGAAGGATCTTTGGGATTCCAGAGCCTGATTTACAGCTCCTCACGGAACCAGAGCCTTCCCTGGACACATCCAGGGCTGCCAGAGCTGCTCCACTCCTCTGTCCTGGAACTGTCAGCACGGGGGAAGAGGGAGCACCTACCAGGATGTTTGCTCTGGATAAGTCACAGCTGGAGAGAACAGAGCCCAGGGTGGAGGATTCCCTTCCCTGAGGCTGGAAGGGCCCCTGGGTCCAGGTTTGTATCCAGGCTTGCTCCAGAGCTGCTGCTCCCTTATCTCAGGGACAGCTCCTGCTTTGCACCAGGAATTCTCCTCCTCCCTTTCCTTTGTTCTTCCCTTTGTGCTCAGGTTCCTTTTGGAGCAGGAATTGTGTTCCTTGACTCCCTTCCCTGGCTGGGCTCACAAAGGGCTCTGTGGCTCAGTGGTAACACAGAAATACACTCAGAAAGAATGATTGGGAGGTTTTATCCCACTACTGTTTAATCCCTGAGTTTCTTTGTTAATCTTGCAGCAGGTGAGAAAATTTGTATTTATTTGGAATATCAGATCATTTGATGAATGGCCCAAACTGGCCATTTATTAATGAGAAACAATGGTGGGATTTTCTCCTGATCCATCCCAACAAGTTTTCCTCATGTCCCCCCACCTTGGGAATGTGCCTGTTCCTGATGTCATTGAATCCACAGAGAAGGTGAGACTGGAGAGGTCGGGGATGAGATTTTTACATAAATTGGGGGTTAAAATATGCAGCTTTTTGTGGAACCCACAGGAAATCAAATGGAGACCCTGGAGCAGGGCCTGATTTAAAAAAAAAAAAAACAACAAAACAAAACTGGGCTAAAACTACCTTGCATAAGGAATAATCTCATTTTAGAGCAGATCAGGCTCCCTAGGCAGTTGTGCTGGGGGGCAGCTCTGGCCTCTCCGTGCCTCAGTTTGCCACAAGGAATGTTCATATTCCTCCATCAGGCATTGTAATTGTTTGGATTGCTGGAATTCAGATAAATCAGAGTGTTCCCACACTGCTGATCCTGCTGGGTGACATTTTCCAGGCCCTGAGTCAGTTCTGACAGAGGCCCTTCCCCGTGGCTGGAATCATTCCTGACTGGGGACTTTTCATTTTCCTGGGAGAGGAGGAGGTTGGACTGTGTTTCAGAACATCCAGGTTCTCCAGGTGTCCTGGTTTTTGGGTTCTTCCTGGACTCTGAACATTTGGCTCACCTGGGCTGAGGTCTGGGGCAAACCCCATCCCCATCAGGAGCTGAGCAGTTTGGGATGAGGTTGGGATTCTCAGCTGTTCTGGGGGCACCCCAGGGGCTCTGGGGCAGAAGGAAGGAAGGTTCTGGCCCAATTCCAATGTTGATTTTATGGGAGGGATCAACTCCTCAGGCCCAGCCTAAGCCATGAATGGCTGTGACACCCTGGCCAAGCTCCCATGTGGGTGGAAATCAGGATCTGTTCCCAAAATCCATGTTTCCCCCAGCATCCCAGCCCTCTCCAGGTACGTTCCCACCTGCTCATAGATGGTTTTCTTCAGCTCCAGCAGCTCCTGGAGCCCTTTGAGCTTCACCTCCAGCTCAGTGCGGTGCAAGGTGCTCACATCCAAATCCTGCAGGGAAGGAAAGGGATTCATTCATCAGCCCACAGTGGGGTTTAGAGCAGTCATTCCCTCCCCAGGAGGGCCCTGCCTGCTGCATCCCTGCCAATGTTCCAGGATGTTGGACCAGGCTTGGAGCACCCTGGACAGGGAAGGTGTCCGTGCCCATGGAATGGGATGAGCTCCTTTCCACCCAACCCATTCCCAGATTTATTAGCAGGGACGTTTGGAACTGCTCTCCAGGTGGGGAGGCTCCTTTGAGGATCTTTTCCCTTTGTTTTGTGGGATTTGTTGGTGGCAGGATCCGCTGGGCCAGGCAGGGCTGGGGTGTTCCCTCTGAGCTTTTGTTCCCCACAAAAGGCTCCACTTATTGAACACTCATGGAAGTGTCCAGGAATGCCTTTCCTGGCTGGGGAGTGTGCCAGGGAAAACATCGAATTAGCAAGGATGGATATTTGTGAGGAACATTCTCTCTCTCCCAACACCCCTATCCTACCCCCAAACTGGGGCTTTTGATATAAAATCCGAGTTCCAGCTGATTCCCACTGGCTCCTGCTGGAGTGGCAGCTTTGCCTGGGGTTTGCTCAGGGCGTGGCCCTTCCGAAAGGAACAAAGCAAATCCTTTATCAATTCCAGCCTTTCCCAACCCTAATAGCACTGGGAGGGAACACAGGGAGGAGGGGGCGACCTAGGAATGGTTTGGATCCCTCAGGCCAGGAAATCCCAGGGTGCAGGGATGGGGGTGCAGGGACTGGGGACAGTCTGACAGGAAACCCCAGGGTGCAGGGATGGGGGTGCAGGGACTGGGGACAGTCTGACAGGAAACCCCAGGGTGCAGGGATGGGGGTGCTCTGATCCCCAGGTGCTGCCAGGGGATTTTCAGGAGCCACTCCAGACTGACCCCCCTGTGCAATTGGGACTCATTCTCTCCCTGTCCTCCTCCAGACCTTGTTATCCCAAACCAGCTGAGCCTGGACCACCCCCAGGCCCTTCCCTGACTGTGCAGGGCTGGGTAGAGCCAATCCAGTTGGAAATTCCCCTTCCCTTCCCACTGACCTTTTTGAGCTCCATGAAGGTGAATTCCATCCCGCTGCAGAGGCGAATTTCATCCTCGTACCTGCAGAGTGCCCAAAGCATGGCATCAACCACAGGGAAACTCTGGGACACTCAGGGCTGTCCTGAGACCCCCAAAGTATCCAAACTTTCTGCTTTTCCTACCATGTCTCCCCTCCTTGAGGCATCGTGGGCAGGAGTGAGAAGAAGCTGCCATATTCCAGATGCCCTTGAACAGCAGAAGCACTTTTGGGATGAAGAATCCCAGAGCAGAGAGGAGGGAGCTTTAATTGGGATTTCATTTGGGGGCTGGGCAGCCTCAGATTCTTCACAAAGGGACAGGCAGGGGGAATTGGGCTCTGTCCAAACTCCACAATTTTCACCCCAAACCTTTTCTGTTCTGCTCTCATTTTCTTAGTGTTTTACTTCCAAGGTTGGAGTTTCCCAAGGGAGAAAACTTTGGCTTGTGAAAATTCTGAGAATTCTGGATTGGTGTCACAACTCAGCTCAGGTGATTTGTGAAGGCACACAGGCAAAGGAATTCATGGAAAACTGCTCACGAAATGGAAGGGAACCAAAACAGGATGGGATGGAGTTCTAAGTGTCCCTGTGAGTGAGGAATGAGCCCCGCAGGTGTTTAAATCCAGGTGGGACAGGGCAGGGCCAGGGAGCAAAGGCTCAGTCCAGGGGCAAATGGATATGAGCAGGAATTAGGGAATGGCTCCTGGGTCAGGGGTGTGGTGATCCCAAATCCCAGGGACCCGACCAGGAAAGCCACAGGGTCCATTTTGGATCCATTCTGGGCCCAGCAGTGCTGGGTCAGAGCAGGAGGGCAGTGGGGTGGGGGTCGGTGTCTCCCACAG